CTGGAGTAATGATGCTGAAAATTCAGCTTTGATCACAGGAATAGAATACATTTTAATATATATATTCAAATAGAAAACAGCTATTTTAAATTGTAATAACTGTATTTTTAATCAAATGAATGCAGCCTTGTCGAGCATAAAAGACTTCTTTCAAAAACATTGAAAAAATCTTACCAACCCCAAACTTTTAAATGCTGGAGCATGTATTTATGTGGCACAAAATCAGTTCTAGTTCCAAAGAAAAGACAGAGAAGATTTCAAAAACTGGTGTGAGACTGAGTGTGAATGGTATCTGATGTCTTTTAAGTGTCTGATGTTGACAGCGTGTGTGCCTTAACCTTAATGTGTTTCAGCAGTTCCTCCAAGGTCATTTCCTTTTGACCCTCACGCCGGCCCTGCACCAGGAAGTCGTCCCAGAGAGAGTACCGCTGCCCCGCAACCTGCCGACAGACACGACACACCGGCTCTAAAACACATGCTTAACAAACATTAACACTCATCTGCACTCTCAGTTGAGGATATACGCTAGTTCTCCCATGCATACTACCTCTAGTTCACTAAGCTGACCGAGTCTGCATGAACTACATGGATGTGGCGTTAACAGCTGATATAGATCTTGTTAACCCTGCTGACACATTTGCAGCTCATGTCTTGGACGTCAAACAGAGTTCAGGTCAGAGGTCATATAACACCAGAGACAGGATAAACAAAAAACAATGAATGTGAAAAAAAACAAACTATATTTATTATAATATTTTGTGTGATTTCATTATAAATTTGACTTTACAATGTAAAGTTTGCAAGCAGTTTTGGTCTTTCCTCACTGAAGGATCTTGACAAAAAAATGTTGCATCTCACATGAACTGACTTGCTTAAAAAGACTTTACTAATACTATTCCTGAGGCACATTGCAGTTCCTACATTACAGTAAATTTCCTGTCCATTTGCACAAGTTTGAATTATTCTGTGCATCAAAAATTGCTGTAGAAACAATTTTCACATAGAAATTGCTAGTAAATTTCACAAATAATTACAAAGAAACAGCAA